ATGATTTTTATGTGTGTATGTGTGTGTGTGTGTTTACAAGCTGTTCAATAAATACGATTGAAAAAAAAAATAATGGCGCATGTAGCTAAGAGAGGGTGTAATAAATTTGTAAATGTATCTGTGTGTTTGTGTGTCCATTTAGTTTTCTTCGAATCAATTTGCGTTGGTTTCAATTGTGCCGAGCCAATAATAATTGACACAAATGTCTGGCACGGGCAAAGAAGGCCGCATGAAATATTCAAAACTGTCTGAAATGTTTTTTCTGCATTATTTATTGGATCAGCAATATGCCAGGCAGACATTATCTCAGCTCGACCGCAAACCCATCTAGAATGACGTTTGCCTTTCTTTTGGACTGTTTAAAAACTGTTCGGCTGCGATCAGCAGTTTCTTACCAATGCCTTCTCAACTGTGATGCTGTGCGGTAATCCATTTGGTTCAAGTTAAATCGCTTGGGGAGCTGGAAATTAAATTTAGCTAATGTTTATTTCGTTTAATTAGACAACTACAAGGCAAATAGAATATTTATGTACACACCAGCCGCCATACACTGACGCAGAAATTCACGGCAACAACAAGAGCATTTAAGATTTTATACTATGTATTTTCTTCTCTTGCTTTCAACATACTTGAAAACGTTAAACAAGTATTTTGTTAATGTTTGTTTGCTTAAATCTTTAATGTGTATTGTCAGAAAAAGCCAAAATTAACAAAAAACAAAAAGAAACCCGCAAAATACAAATCAATTAAATTTTTATCAATTTCTTCTTTAATACAATTACCGTTAAAAGGTAGTTCTAGTTGCTGTCAGCGTTTGCAATGGTAAAATATTTAAAGCTAAAACCTAAAGACAGTCTTCATTGTATATTTAAAAATTGTTTATAAGCCATGTGAAAAGTTAACAAATAGTTCAATTGGGAAAGATAATCGGAATGCAGTCTTTAAAATATTTTTAAATTTTAACTTTAGAAAAGTAAATAATATTTATAACAAACATTTTTGCTCTTCAAAACTTTGTGAAAACTTTATTTTCAAGCCAAATTTGAGAGAAAACTAGCTAAATTGGCAGCACTATTTGTTGTTGCTGTGGCCAAAAACTGCAAAACTTTTGTGCTCACACACATGGACATGAAACCGCCGTAGTGAACGAGAGAGGGAAGAGAGAGAACAGTGTGTGGCGAGCAGACGCTCAGACGAATAGTCATATTCATTTTGGTTGCTTTTGCTAATTTTAAAATAGACAAACAATTTTTTATTTCAATTTACAGCAGCCAGTCGCACACAGGCATATAAACACACGCATACATGTGAATGCATACATACTGCCCAGACACATGATTCGATGTAGCCGTCGCCGTCGCCGTAGCCGTCGCAGTCGCAGTCAGCGCATCTGCCAGTGCTCTTATTCCCCAACCCGTTTTCAAACAAATTTGTTTGTTTTAGCGAGTAACTCGGTTGCGTATTTAAATATTTATATATGTGCCTCCTATTTATAAATCTCTCTGGCCGCCTGTCGGTCTGTCTGTTTGTGATAAGCATGATTATCATAATGGTTAGTTAGCACATTTTTATTATGTTCCTTTGCCGGGCGCCCATTAACAGCGTCGTGTCAAGTGCACAGTGTGCTGTCTTTCTTTGTGCCACTATAGCAAATCGCTGCACCCGTTCACTTCTCACTCTTTCCTCCTCACTCTATCCCGCGCTCCTTGTTTATTTGCATTTGCTTTATAATTCGTATTTGTTTTGCAACTAATGCAGTTGTTGTTGTTTAATGGGAATTGCTTTATTTTGTGCTCCTTTGTCAATTGTTGCGAATTGTTTTTGGATTTAATTGGCATGTTTCGTGCAATTTACTTAATGAATTTCACGTTGTGCGTTCAGTGACCGATCAACTCGTTCGATTGGTCAATATGTATGTATGTATGTATGTATTTATGTGTGTGGATGCGGTATTGTGTGTGAAAGTCAAATGAAATCAATACAAAACGCTTTCATAGTCTGTTGCGTTGCTGTGTAGTTAGAGCTCCTGTCGACTCCTATACAGGGTATTCGACAGCTGGTTTAAGCTTTTTGCATCCTTATCATTTAGTCATGCAATTTGACTAGCAATCATTTCAATGATACATAAACATGCACATGATTTTTTTTTATTTATTTAATTTCACATTTGTTTTTATTTTATTTTGGCCAACCTTAAACYCGCGCAAAATGGCGCTCATTAGTGTCCTCAAAAGTCATTTACGACATGACTCTCAAACTGTGTGTGCTTTCACGTGCACGACGACTGCCAAAAATAACAGCACACACACACGCACAGTTGTGCCCACAGACAATCGCAAACACACACGAAAAGGTACATAATATAGGCGCAATCAATTTTGTTTCGTGTTAATTAATTTTGTTATAGGTATGTATGTATGTTTCTTGTTTCATCTTTTGCTGGCAGAAAATTCTCTGTATGAGCACAGTTTGTGTTTTGCGGCATTTAGTTTTTTCTTAGTTTTACTTTTTGCAAGTTCTCTCTGTAAATATTTTAATTGCCTTCGGCTATAACATTTTCTAGTGAAACAAAAATATGAGACTATTTGTAGCACTGTAGCTTTATGCGTTCATTAAAAAATAATAAAACCTAAGCGAAAAATTAAAATGTAATGAGCAACACACACACATATCATACTTACGCATTCATCTATATACATACATATGTATATACACACACTATGCGAACGAATGCCAATAACAATATGTCACGAGTGCGCTATTCATATGGTGCGTTGGATGTAGGATAGAGAGAGGGATGTAGTGTGCATGCATGTGAATATGACTGTGTGTGTGCTGGCAGCCATAAATTTGATTAAATAAAGTTTTAGTTGGCGCTCGCTTTTGCATGCTCTTTCTTCTATTTGGCACAAGGAATGCGACAAAAACTATGCTACATGAACAAGCAATAAACCATAAATTTCTTGTCACCAACAACAACAGCAGCAGCCGTAGCGGTTAAGCATTGTGTGTAACGAAACAAAGAGAGAGCGCGAGTGAGAGAGTGTGTGGTGAGAGTAAAAGAATGTTAAGGTGTGTTATACGCACGTGTGTAGGAGTGTGTGTTGATGTTGTATAAATTTATAATGCTTTTCGACTGGGTCACCGCCTTCCATTCTGTCCTATGCTGCAATATGCTCTCTGTRTGTAAATGTAATGCTTGTGCGTGTGTGTGTGTTTTTGTGCTTATGCTGTCCAAAGTGACAGCAACAGACGAAAATGCTTGCAAGCTGTGGAAGAGAGATGGGGCGACATCTTGTTGCTTGTAAATGAAATTGCGTTGTCTGCAATCTTTTTGCGCTTAATTTGCTGTAAAAGTGTCAGCTGAAAAGGGAAGGCAAATACTACGCGTGCATACTTAAGTACATAAACGTGTGATTGTATGTGTGTGAATGTGCCTAATCACCCTGTGTGAAACAAATAAAGAATATGTCCGTTGACTTGTTAAAACAGCTGATAAGATTGCGGCTTTATCTGTATGCAAACAGCAATCAACAAATATATATTGTACATTCTTTGTTAAGAGCCTATATATTTATTGCCATGTTAGCCTTTTGCTTATTTCTAGTTATCAAAAGTACTTGTTACCTACCGTCCAGTGATAAGCGCAGATAACATTTTCTCGAAAAATAAAACAGCACATGGTCATTCGACTAACGGTATATATGTATGTCGTGGACATGGCCATGGCTTAAGAATATGCAGTTTAAACTGGACATTACTGACGTCACTGTTGACGCCATCACCCAATGTCAGACACACACACTCACACACAATTAAAAACATACATACATACACCTGGCTGAATGACGAGATTGATTTTAATCTCTCTACGATGGTAAATGCGAGTTGCGTCAGCAACCGGCGCTTTGTTAATTGTCTCCGTTTAGTGTTGTGTAATGACAGAATATCAAAATCTTGTGCTTAGAATGTGGAGGCTCTTGAGGGTATAGCTAAGTATGAATATATTGTTACAATAATGCCTAGATAATTATCGATTCATAATATAACTAATTGTCACATAATATAATTTATAAAATATTCAATTGAACATATTTATGTTATAACATTTATAACTTCTAGTAGAGAAAAATACAAGTTAAGCAACTCTATTTAACTATCCCCAAACAATTAATATTTAAACCCACCTCAGAGTTATTCCCGCAACATTATCGATTAGCTTTAATGCTGATCGATAACTTTAAACTGTTTACGTATCAAACTGTACATTTTATATAAAAAAAAAAGGAACGAGAACCATTAACACCTTGTGGTCTTAATTATAGCACTCACACACCACATTTATAATTTGAATTAGCTTTAATTTGACTTTTTGGTTATTCAGTTCGATAATCGGTTTTTTTTTTTTCATTTATTTTGCAAATATCTTTTATGTGTATATGTAAGTAAGATTTACGACACATTTAGTATAAATAAATTGATATATACATACATATTTTTGCAACTTGGCGCTGAAATCAAATAATCTGAAAACTGGAAACACACAAAAAGAAGAAAACGAAAAAAAAGCAAACAAATCTAACCGATAAAATAATACACATTCAATCGATCGACTCGAAATGGATCGGATCGTACACACATCTGCTATAGTAGCAATATATTTTATGGAGTGTATAAAGACTAATTAAATAAAAAAAAAAACGTTTATATTTTATGTTGTTGTTAATTGTTAATGTTTTCTTGATTTCCAATGATGTTTCTCCTTTCCCATTGCCCCCTTCAACCTGCTCTTTTTGCTATCGATATATCGATTTGTTGTAACCATCTTGCTGTGTGTGTTCTTTATATACAT